GGACGCCAGTCAATGCCCTAAGGATATGTCAGCCACATGTTCTGATGAAATGACTCAATACAAAGGGAGAAGAACCTACCCAAAAGCGACAATGGTGTAAACGGTGGTGTAATATCTCCCATAACTCTCGACGGGACACAGCTCTCCCACACAGACTGGCACAAGGCTGATATTGCTCCCACTGGCGAATCCGAATACAATAGAGAATATAACCGTAGCAGCAAGATTTCCGTCAGCGGGCATCCAAATGCCAAGGACAGAAATTAAACAAAGAATGTTTGTCAGGATCAATGTGTTGAACCGACCAATGCGATCAGCTATGATGCCCGGCAACCAACGACCGGGGAAAGAACCGGCGTTCAAAAAGACGACCATCAAATACGATAGATCGGGAGAGATCCCACTCGCAATTGAATACGAGGCAATGTATTCGAGTGGAATAAAGAAGCCCCATTCAATGAAGAATACCCCCATCGTCGTCAGAGCGAGGACAGGGTCTTTGAGAATCGTGAGATCGGGAAGGAATACCTTAAGCGACGGACGCGAAGGGGCCTTGGGAGGGAAGTTCGCTCGGACTAGAAGGCAGCCTGGGATTAAAAGTATCAATGTGATCAGGCCGATGACCCGACTAGCCCAGGCGAATCCAATCTGTGGCGCAAGGTACAGCAATACCAAAGGGAAGATCACGCCGCCGATACTACCCCCGGCCAATGCAAGACCTGTTGCTGCACCTCGGCGTTTGATGAAGAAGTGTCCAATGCTCGCGACGGGTACAATGAATATGAAAGATGTACCCATCCCTCCCAGGATGCCAATCACAATGAGGAAGTGCCAGTACTCCTGGCAGAATCCCATGAGGATGAAGGTTAATACGAGCAGACTTGACCCGATCCACATGAGCAGCCGCGGCCCTTTGATATCGAAAATAGGCCCGATCTGGATCCCGCAGAAGAATACAAGGAAGTTGTATATTCCGAAGATCCAGCCAATTTGCCCTTCGCTGATGTCTGAGAGTTGGTGTGTTGAGATCCAAGCTTGGTAGATGCCGATGCTGTTCATTAGGCCGAGTCCACCCATTATAGCGCTGAAGCTGCCTGCTACAACAAGGTTGCCAATGAGCCCTCCCTCTGGGCGGGTGGTTGGGTCGAGTGCTGATTCGTGGTGCATTATTTTATGCTACACAATAGGTAATAAGTAATAGGTACAAGACAGAAAAGGAAATTTGTTGTTGGAACTATCTATATGAAGCTTCAATTCTATGGATACAGCTCCTTTTAACTACTTCATAGTGGATAAAGTACCAATTTGTATCTGGGAAATTTTCCTGAGCTCGGCCATTATCATGATGCATGTTGTCTAACGTGCAGTTGAATTAGAAAGAAATTCGCCGAGGGCTGTATGAAAATCGGAATCGGGTCGCTTTCGGGATAAGGCCGAACTGATTGATAGGATCAGCAAGCGAAAATTCCCCTTAAGAATTATCTGAAGAAGTCCACTAGAGTCATACTTGCTGGCTCTGTGGCAAAGAACGATGGCCGAGCATCTCGGCCACCAGAATTCTCGGCCACCGGCGGATTTCGCCGACGCGGCAGCGGCGAACCCGATCAAATTTACATGCGTTGTTTTGATGTATACAATTATTACTTCATTATTAACATCTCGTACTCTTAAAACAGATGAGAAAAAAGAGGAAGAAAAGAAAATGCCATAGGAATATGAGATCTATACCGGCCTAGGTAAAAACCAGTACCTAGTCCGCACCAAAGGTAGAGACAGCAGAGAAGCCGATATAGCCCCCAGGATTAAATCAACTAGAAACAAATACAAGAAAAGAAAGCACCATGACGATGGTATGAAATAAAACACCAGTATCGGACCAATTCAAAACCCCAATCCCGAATATGATCCCATCCCCGCTGGTTATGCTGCCAACCCATCCGCTGTAAAACAAGTACGCCGACCAGACCTAGGCCTCAAAATAAAAACAGTGGTTTAAGCAAACCTGCGCTTGGTTGGGCTCGGTGTCCGGAGGTGCTGCTCGCGCTCACGAGAGCGTTCCGTGACAAAGTCCATCGCCCGTGTATTCTCGAGCATCAGGGGCTGGTCTTGTTTCTCATTGTAAGCGACGCCTTGGGTTTGCCGAGGGTCTTGCTGCCCGTAGTACCCGAATGAGGGGTTATGCTGCAGCTGGGGGTGCATGGATTGGGGTGGGGGTGGGTGTTGCGCGTAGTGCTGTTGCTGGAGACGGTGTCTAAATGATCGGAATGACCAGTTGCTAACAACGGTGACGGTGGATATGGTTGCAAGGAAGAAAAGCTAGTATATAAAGTCAATAGATATCCAAAATCGGAGGCACAGGGAAACTCACAATCGCCTTCCAGCTGATGGGGTCAATGAAACTGTTTATGATAATAGCCATTGTATGCGCCGAGACCTTGGCGCGACCAACCTTCGCCGGGTCACGATTCATGCATCGTTCCCAGTTCTCGCATATAGTTTCCAGGGCTGGCGCGCGAGTCGATCGTCCGCAGTCGTTGTCAATATAGCTTTTCGTGCAGACCGCCATGTCGGCCAAGATAGTATCGGACATTTCTTGCGCAGCCTGTTCGAACTCGCCACGGATGGCCGACACAAATCCGAAGACGACATAGACGGCCAGAGAGAACAGCGACAAGTTGACCACCAGTTGGGCCCACCATGACAGGATGGCGGGGACATTCGGGTGTGCCTCCAGCATGCTGAAGAACTCAGACCAGGATGACACTTGTGAGCGACCCTGGTCGAACTTCTGTCCCTTTCCTTGCTTCATGGCTTTCATCGACTTTTGTTCCCTGCTGCTGGGGCGGTCTTGGTCGCTATCGTCATCGCTGTCGACCCGTATTTGTCGGCCGAGTTCCTTGTCTCTCCGTCGTTTCTTTTGTATCCGGTGCAAGGCTGCGTTGGAGTGATGGGTCAGCCGAGGGATTTCACCTCGCCCTGGGCTCTGCGGATTCCGGCCATGAAAGTTGAATAGTGACGAAGTTCCCTTCCCTGACTTGTACGGCTGCTCCGGCGTGTCCTCATTGTCAGCATATTCCGGTGACGACATATTCTCGGCGCCTGATGAGAAATCCACATCGAATTTCCGTGGCGTCTGGAAAGCAGGTTGGCCAAATTTAGCCTTCGGCGATAGTGGTGCGGGTTGTTGTCGGGGCTGTGAAAAGAGGAATGGTTGAGAGTTTGGTTCGCGGAGAGAGGGTAGCGCTTGCTTCTGGGGGGATTCGAATGCGCTGTATGTGCCTGTGCGAGTGTCAGAGAGCTTGAGATTACAGCTGTCCTCGTTCAGACTGGGATACGGACGTTTCTTCTCATGCTGCGCCCCAAGCTGGTAGAAGGGCGAGGTCACGTCGCCGGGGGCTCGAGTTTGCCATTCAAAGTCCATTGGACTCTCTCCCGTGCGTTTTTCCATCTTTAGGTCGACCGAAATATAGATCTGTAGCGGGATGATGGTGAGGGTTAAAAAGGCGGGAAGTTTTTTGTTTGGGGTAAACATCCAGACTCCCGTAGCAACCTTGGCATTAACGCTCTTTATCTCCGAGAGGGACTACATAGGTATACTCCATTGTTTTTACTCGTATTTTTTATTTGATCGTGCTCATTCTATGGTACAGTTTACACGTTGACTACAGAAATGGACGGACTCGAATCAAATATCGGAGCAAGATCGTTTGATGCATTGGGCGACCAGCACCCACTATGGGTATTAAACAAGATGGAAGGCATAAGACAGATAACATGAGAAGCCATCTACTCATCCATCTGCCACTGGTATTCCAGAGCTTCAAATCGGCTTTTCTTGTTCCGCGATGTAAACCAGTCCTTTTCAAACCCGTTGCCCCGATCCACCCCATCCCAGCGATGCCCTGGCCGGATCCCATATCGATTAGGCTGGAAGGAACCACGATACAGCGGCCGCCCTGTAACACTGGCTCCCGCATCACGCTTGGCCGTGAGGAACTCCGCGGCGGGATCATTCCACCGATCGCGGGCCTTCATATCTTCATTCATTTCCTCGTCTTCGATCGTCCGTGCAAGCGGCATGGCCTTGATATCTTGTAGATCCCGTCGCCGCTCCTCGCGCTGCCGTCGCTGCACATCTCCCATCAGCGCCTCGCGGGCCTGTTCTTCTTTCTCGCGCTTTTCTTCTTCTGCGCGCCTGGCTTCGGCGCGTTTCATGGCCACGTTGATGATTCGGCCGGATGCGTCTCGGTAGATTGTTTCTTGGCTCTTTTGGTTCACTACTGAGGGATCGCGGTACAGTGCTTCTTCAGCTTTGCGCCGCTTTTCTTGGGCTTTCACCATCGCTGCGGTTTGGGCCGCCGTTTGGAGGCCCCCTCGTGCTCCGGACTCCATGCGACCCGCACCATCGTCTTCATCCTCTATCACAAGCGCATCTTCATCGTCTGGGTCTTGCTGGGCGGCGCGTTCGGCCGCTGCATCGGCTAGAATTGCGTCGGCAGCTTCTTGTTCACTTCCGCCTTGGCCAGGCGTGGGTCCTCCGATCGTCTTCCAGCTTGACTTCTTTGCGCGGCGGAACTCTGTAGTTTTTGCGGATGTGTCGAAATAAGGTCTGTCCTCATCGTCTTCGCCCGTATTTCCTAATGAGCGAATGTCTGGCGGATCATCGTCGGCAATGATGAGGCCGGAGCCTACAGTATCGATGGCTTTGGTCTTCTTGCGCTTCTTCTTTGGCCGCTCGGTGGCTGGGTCGGCAGTCAGGTAATTCTTTGCCAGGTAGTCTGCGAGTGAGCCAGGCATGATTTTGGTATGTTGTATGTGAGAAATGTGAAATGTAGAGATGCAGGTTGAGCTCAGTGATTTAATGATCCGGAGGAATGTTTTCCCGAACTGTATGCCGCCTAGCGCTTTGTGTTAAGGCGTGAATGTTATTTGAGTATGGACTCGGCAATGTAAAGGGAGACCTCGAATTTTGTTGCTGAAATTATTTGGAGATCTGCACAATGCCACGCTCCGAAGAAGCAGAATGGTGGGCCAACGCAGTCTACGAGGCCATCCAAGAAGTCCCCCTAGGCAAAGTCACTTCCTACGGTCATATCGCGCGCCTCCTCGGTGAACGTATGGATGCAATTATATGATTGCTGTAGACATACTAATTACTTCCTTTTGGTAATAGCTCAGCGTCCCCGCCAGGTCGGGGTCTGTCTCAAGGTACTTCCGTCGCCCGAGTCTGGCTCGCACTTCAATTCGAACACCGTCCCGTGGCAGCGAGTGATTAATTCGAAAGGGATGATCTCGCATCGGTGCGTTTCTAGACTACCTATTCCAAACTCCCATATCATGTCAAGTTGTTCAAACTAGACGATATGATCCAGTCTTGAAAGGGACTTTTATACGTGTTCACGGCTAACAACTATAGTAGTGGACCCGGCAGTGCGGAGCGTCAGGCCGAAGCTCTCGCCCAAGAAGGTGTAGAGGTTACTACAGACAGCATGGGCGAGATGTATGTTGATTTTTCTCGATATGGATGGTTTCCAAGCGAGCTGCCGAGCGAGGGAACGGATGAACAGCCATAAGAATGGGGAAGTTGAACACTCATCTACTGTCGTATAGACGTTTACAAACATCATCATGTATTGGGTTCCAATGTCCTTGCATTGTATCAGAGTGTTAACAATGATTCAAGAAATGGTACGGAGACTGAATCCATACATAGCAAATTGTCATAACTTGTCTGTCTGGTGGAGGGAATCTAGAAGACGGAAAGGACTTCGCAGATGAGTGGGAAGGGGATGACACGGGAGACTAAAGACCCATCACAAATATGATCAATGGAAAATATAAAGACGAGTCTATCGGAGAGATATGAGATGGAAAAGCACCAGGCACAAAGGTAGACAGACGTGCAAGGGGGGAAAGGCGAGGCATGAGCATACGAGCATCTCGAAAAACACCCCATCCAACCAACTACCAGCATAGGACGAAAGAAAGCTTTGAAGAAAGAAGAAATAAAGACACAAACCAACCAGCATCAATCCGTAAATGGAAAGAGAAAAAAGATCGTTAACTCACATCATCGCCATAAGGGCATGTCTGCAATGAAAACCCAGGGGATAGCCCCATCTAGGTTGAGGAAAGAGAACAAAGAGGGGGGGTCACAAAGGTCACCTTCAACGCTTTTTGACCTCGGTGGCCCAGCCTTCAATACCCTCCCCCGGGTGCCAGGGGCAATACCCAGATCGACCCCATCCATACCAGGTGTTTCCTTTATCCAGTCATGAGCGGCCATACCACCAGCGTTCGCCCTCTTCTCGGGTGACAGATCAAGCATGGGCAGTAGTAGTTCGCTAATACGCATGCTCTCCTCCATGGAGTAGTGGTACTTTTCTCGCAGGACGTCGGGCAGGGCCCAGTGACGGAGTCGGTGGATATTGCGCAGTTCACCCTTACGGTTGAAGATTTCCTGGGACCATTTGCCGGACATGCAGAGTGACTTGGGGAAGGGACCAAGTAGTTCAATGATTTGGGCAATGTGATCATCGTCCTTGCCATATTTGGTCCCTGATTGGGGGTCGAAGAGGTAGTCTCCAGTGATGAGTTCGAAAACCTAAACAGTTAGTATTTCGTTCGGCTTCGGCTCTGATTGATGATCAGTCACTTACCATGCATGCCATACTCCACACATCAGTGCTAGCACCCCACTTAGAGCCCAGTATGACTTCGGGCGAGCGGTATTGACGAGTTTGAATGTCGTTGGTGAAATGGTGACCGACCCAACAAGCATTGCCTAAGTCTGCAATCTTGACCGAAATAATATTGACGTCAAGTTCTTCCTCTGGTGATTTGCTCGAAGAGCCTTTATCGAGAGAAATTCCAGACACCTCTCGCTCCAAAAGATCACTATATTTATATCGTTAGACCAGGTTCTCATCAATCAAAGCAATTCAGACGAAATGTAATAACAATGTAATAACGTACGCAGTTTTCTCCCGCTGGTTCTGCTTCACATCTTCTTCCTTTACCCCAAGCAGTTCTCTCATAGAGGGCATATCTGCAGTAGATGCTAGGTCAGTTTCGGTTCGCGCACGGTCATGTCATAGGTGCATCAGGGGGGACCGACCTCCAGGTTCATTGACCATCTGGCTGAGGCTGCTGTGTGAGTTAGAAGAGCTATGTTTGAAGTCGAAGCTATTGAAGCTGGTGTTGAGCGGACTAGGGAGCGGCTGGCTCCCTGTGATCAGTGTGCGTCGCCGTCTCCGTCCATTTCGGTTATCCTCTTTCTCCTTGGCCTCTTTATTGGCTTCTTCCTTGACATGCGCCTTGACGATCTGCTCCACATCTCCAATCTCGATCAGGACATTCTCCGGCTTCAGATCCGTGTGAATGATCCCACACTCGCGGTGGAGATAATCCAAGCCCAGTAGTACTTGCTTCGCAATCTGCTTGACTAGCGGCATGGGAATACCGCGGTGGTTCCACCGCTTGATCAAACCCAACAGGTTCTCGCCCAGGACCTCAAAGACCATACAAACATGGATACCATTCGGCCCTTTGTGCTCAAACGAGTCCAACAGACTAACCACATGCTTCCGACCAGGGTGAGAGGGTTTCGCTTGGACGATTTTGTTGAGGAGCTTGATTTCGTCGATCGCGGTTTCGGTGTAGTGTGCGGCGGATCGAACCACCTTCAGCGCAACGTGCTTGTTGGTGGTTGTGTCCCGTGACAGCCAGACCGTGGAGAAATGACCCCATCCAAGCTTGCGCACGACAATATAGCGACCATTGTTGTATGCTTCGCCGACCGCGACGGGGTGGTATCCACCTTTGCAGTAATCTTCGGAGTCCTCCTCTTCTGCGGTAGCCTCGAGTTCTTCGCCAGACGATGAGGATGATGAGCGCGATGCGGGTGCGTTGGAGTTTGACTGAGCAGCGCCGGTTCTATTCCATGTGAAATTAGTAACCATGTTCAACAGAAACGTTTGAAGACATACGATTCTGTAGCGCCGGGCGCAGGGTTCCCTTCATTGGTGACGATGGGCTTCAAGTCGGTACCCTTTCTCCTCTTCTTTCCGCCGCTGCCATTGGCAGCTGAAGCAGCAACGTTTGCCATCTGTTTGCCCTTGTTGAGCATCGCCTTGGTAAGATCGACTCCCTCCATGGTGTGGAGATTTGGGAGGTCAAGCTGAGAGGCGGGGCACACTGGCTTTTGGTTGGCTCAAGCGGAACTTAGAGGCGGTGGATGTTGGAGGGGGGCCTCTACCACCACAGTAAAGACACGAGTAATCGGGGGGGAATATAGTACTGCCCAGGTGAAATTGTGAAGAATCCAAATAACTGGGAATAAGTTGGAGGGGGGGAAATGAAGATGTCAAAGATTGAGAAAAATAGCGGGTAAGGCACAACCCAAAAAGAAGATGGGCCAGAGCGACGATCCGATCGCAAAGTTCAAGTTTTATAAAATCGAGAAAGATAGATCACTTCGGAGAAAAGGGAAATAGTTGAGATGGGATGGTTTTCCGCAAGCAGCCACAGCGTCGTGGTGGCAAATATCGACGCATTGAGTATAGACAATAAATAACCTATAAGAACTGAATATACTGATATACTGAATATATTGGGATAATAAATAATAGATGTAAAGAAAAGAAAAAAGTCTCAGATGAAGGTGGTACATTGATTAACTAGAAGAAACATAGCAAGTAAGAAGTACATGTCAGGTGAGATAGTACATTCTATGATGTTGACTATGATGACTATGTGTTAAATACAGATGTTTTAACTCTTCTATGCTATATATGTATGTATCTACCTTAACCTTATCTATCATATCATAAACTATCTTCCATCAACTATTCTATCAAATTTCGATCAAATCCGCAAAGAAATAAAAGAAGATCGACTGCAGTCCTGATGTCACGATCCCCGCTTGGGGTAACTGGGTACCTGACTTTATCTCGGTGGATTCACCTCTTGACCTCTTGACCTCTTAAGACTCTAGCCTCTGGCTTCCCTGCCACCATGACAAGCCCCTTCAACCGTCGCCCGATTCCCGACTACTTCCTAGCCTCTCCACTGGTGGCCTTACTCTATCCTGTGCACCAGATCTTACTCCGTCTGCGTGGACCTCCTCGACTCCCTCCGCCAGGCACTCAACCAATCCGAGTAGTCTGCATCTCCGATACTCACACCCTCGAATGGCCAGACGTACCCGACGGAGACCTTCTCATCCACGCAGGCGACCTCTGCAACGACGGCTCCGCGCGCGATATTCAAGCCGCTGTTGACTGGCTCCGCAGCCTTCCCCACCCATACAAAGTCGCCATCGGAGGCAACCATGATAGCTACTTCGACGTGCGGTCACGCCTGGATGAGGACCGCAAAGACCCAGCTTCTACGGGGGATTCCTTCGCAGCAGTTTCCTCAACTGCATCCATACACTCGCTCCACGAGCTGAACAGCGCCTCCCGCATCGACTGGGGTGACATCCATTACCTCCAACATTCAGCGGTGACCCTTTCGTTCCCCGACACCTCGACGCCCTCATCCACAACCCCCTCACCAGCTCCCGCTCGCGCTCCCTCACAATCTACGGCGCGCCCCAAGTCCCAGCCATCGTCCCCTTCGGCCCCGAGCACGCCTTCACATACCCTCCACAGCACGACGCCTGGTCTGGCACCGTCCCCCCAGAAACAGACATCCTCGTCACTCACACTCCACCCCAATCCCATCTCGACCTGTCCCCCGTATATTCCACAGGCTGTCCCAATCTGCTAGCAGAATCATGGCGCGTCCGTCCTGCCCTCCACGTCTTCGGCCACGTCCATGAATCCGCAGGCCAGGAACCCATCTTCTGGGACGAGGCCCAGCGCGCCTGGGAAAGATTATGTGCCACGCGCCGCTCGCGTGCGCGTTTGAGCCGCCTTGCTTCGCTAGCCGGGTTCCTGCGCGATCTGTTCGATCTGTCTGCCTGGGTGGATGCCGCACGGGTTGTGGGATATGGCATCCTAGGTGTGGTTTGGGCTCATATCTGGGGTGGGGAGAATCTTAACGGTGGGTGGATGGTCAACGCTGCTTGCATGTATCGTGATACTGGCCGTCTGGGTAACGCACCGAGGGTTTTTAATCTTTGATCTTCCACCAATACGCATAGCGTTTGCTTTTTTGCTTCCTGTTTATAATACTACGCATGTTTCGTCGGTTTGCGTTTGGTGAGCCGCAACTGTACATAGAAGCTGAGCGGTTCAACTACGCCAGAAATGGCCTCTCGCTTTCGGGTATTCACATCGTTTGATCCCAGTCTAAGCGAATCCAAGGTTGGTTCTCAACGTCCACCTTGTGTCTCATATTACAAAAATGATAATTGTATAATATATATGCTGGCGTTTTCTAATCCTAGTAGTTATCTATGTATACTGACCTAACGCCGGGAGTGGATGAGATTGGCCGAGTTCCGAGGCAACAGAAGTTCATTGGGCTTTAAACATTCACGAATTACTTGTGCATTTGGATAATCCATGGATGTTAGCAGAGAGGAAATTATACTATAATGGTGTTAAATGGAAATTCCAGACTTCTTATTTGTGTGGGGTTAGTGCCTCGCTTTCAAAATATATCTTTGGGATCTTGGCATCAACCATTAAGATTCTACAACCTAAGAAATACAAATTTCTCCAAGATAAATAATTTGTACACATTGCATGGGTATAGAGATATATATGAACTCAATGGTTACATGTCCAGACGATACCATCCTGCAGACCGACGCGAACAAGCCCAGCAAGCACTAACTCGACAAAGAAAGCTACAGCTTCGGCTTCTCGATAAACGCCGGCGTCACCAACGGATCATAAGCACGAAGGCCAAGGGTATCAGATGGCACAGCCCCAGAGTGACCACCCAACAACCCACGGGTATCAATCAGACTGGGATTGAGATCCGCGACACTCGTAGCTCCAATCAACCGCATGTTCATTTCCATCTCGTCCTTCAGCAGCTGCATAGCCCGGTCAACGCCATCAAGCCCATAGGCAGACATGGCATACAGGAATGGCCGTCCAATACCGACGCCAGTCGCGCCCAGGCAAAGCGCCTTGAGGATATCAGTTGCGCGACGCACACCGCCGTCAACGAACACTTCAATGCGCTTTTCCCAGCCGCGCTCGCGGAGCGCAGGCATGACCTCGGCCAAAACCTCAATACCGGACCGCGCGGTCTCGAGCTGCCGTCCACCGTGGTTGGATAGCACGACGCCGTCGCAGCCTGCCTCGACGGCACGCAGGACGTCCTCAACACACTGCACACCCTTCAGAACGATCGGCATGCGTGTGATGGACTTGAACCAGGGGATGTCCTTCCATGAGAGAGCGGGGTCGATGAAGGAGGAGATGGCGCGGGCAGCACCCTGGGTGCGGTCGATGTTATCGCCGCCGGACTGGACGTTCGAGCCGGGATCGGAGAACTTGGAGCGCATGTCCTTCTCGCGGCGGCCGAGCTGGGGCGCGTCGACGGTGATGAAGAGACCCTTGCAGCCACGCTTTTCGGCGTGCTCGACGATCTTGCGTGTGATTTCGCGGTCTTTGTTCACGTATAGTTGGAGCCATTGCACCTGGTCGCCTTGTCTGGCGTCGAGGATTTCGTCGAAGGAGCATGAGGCTAGCGTGGGGATCATTTGTACTACGTCGTGTCGGTGGGAGGCTTTTGTGAGCACAACTTCGCCTTCTGGGTGGCCCAGTTTGCCGAGTGCTGTGGCAGTCACGTAGAATGGGATTGAGGATTTTGTGCCCAGCATTGTTGTGCTCATGTCGATGTGCTCGACATCGACCAGAATTCGTGGCCGGAACCAGATTTTGTGGAAGGCTGCGTGGTTCTCGCGCATTGTCTGGTTATGAGTTAGCATTGGTGCGTTTGGTGCCTAGGAGTATCTAGCTTACAATTTCATCATCCGCTCCGCTGGAGTAGTATGCCCATGCGGTCTTCTTCATGACTTGGCGGGCCACAGCCTCAAAGTCCATCAGGTTGTAGCATGCTTCGAGGGAAGGCATGCGGGAAATGCGCTCTAGGCGGTCGGCCTCCTCTGGGTCGAAAGCTTTTTCTTCCTGCTCGACGGTTGCCATGTCTACTGTTCCCAAGTGTTTCGACTGGTCCAGGAACTTGTCCAGGGTGTCGGGTGGGTGAATTGGTTCGAACTCTTCGGTCGCGTCTTTGCCTGCATACTTCAGAATGATCTTCTGACCACCGGGGTGTTCTGAGAAATGTTAGTGTGCATTTGAGGAGAGAGCGGCAGCGAGGAATCACATACCCGGGAGGAATTCGGTTACGTCGTAGGCTTTGCCATGTACGATGACCCAGCACGAGTCTTTGGAGTTGTGCTCGGCGACCTGTGCGCCGGTAAGCTTGCCTGCACTCATGTTGAAAAGGATATGAGAGTATAGTTTGTAGAAGAGTGAGAGAAAGGAAGTAATTAAAGGGAAAAAGATCTAGTGGATCCTCGGGATAAATGAGTCCGGGGGAGAAACTTGCGGGGAGCTTCTCGGCCGACTCGTCGGATGAGAGTGGTCTTGTCGGATGAGAGTTCAAATGTCCCTTAAGTCCGTATATTAATTTGATGTTGCAATTCTACGATCAAGTCCAAAACCCAAAGGATCTAAGTGATTGGGGGGTCAGGATCGTCGTGGAGCCTCTTGGTCACGTTCTCTATATTCTATTCAGCCAGTAGTAAGTGACGTATTATACATGGATGCCCACTATCTAATCCATGCTCGGGTATTCCCTTCACAAACACTGTTCCCAGGTTTCCCTTGTTTTGTTATGCTATATACTGCATTCAGAGAAATTCAGAGAAGAAACAGCCTTACCTGCAGGGGAAAAATACATAATTATGCAAGCGGGAAGGGAACGAGTGACCATCGTTGGCTGCAAGCTATGATCCCGAGGCAGGCACTCACTGTTAACTGCCTAATACCTCAGGCATAAATATCTTCAATACTAGGGTTCATACAATAATATGAGCCTTGGTGTTATAAATTAGAACGGTACTCTCAAATCTCTACCTAGACGTCTAGAGCACCTGTGGACCATAGGTATGTAAGCACCGCAATGGAACAGATCGCTGTTGACAGCCCTACATTCCCTCGTTGGAATGTCGGAGACACCTTAGATAATATTCAATAACCTGAGGCATCAATATCAGTATCATTCTGTCACATGACTCATCACGTGAACTACGTCATCAAAGTATAAATCACATCATATCATAACACCATTGTGTTGAAGTATGGGCGGGCTCTAAGGTTTTTATCATCATCAAACAGGCGTTCAAGCTAATTGAATAGCATCACTCACATTATAAAATAGTGTAGATCAGTGGGCGAGGGAGGATCCTACCACGGCCTTGGCTGACAGCGCCACTGTCGATCGCCTACAAAGCTTCTTTGAAACCTGGTTTTGAGCTTGAGGTTCAAGGAGACTGCAAAATAAAGCCGGGCATGTTGGCAATACGCCTGAGGCGCACAGATCACTTTGTTATCGGCGTTAATCTATCATCGGGCACGTTCAGTCATTTCTCCCCCTTCCTAGCATTGCCGGCGCCTCCGAATCTCCACCCTCCCACACCTCCGCCATTTCTCCATCTTCCGCCACTGTGGTGGCCACAACCCCCCTTCTTGCCTCGTGGGTGCCGCTGACGTTGTACGGGGAAGGGGTTCGGCAAAATAAACCCTCCACGAGTTGTACCATGTGAGTGTGGCGCGGAATCTTTCCATCGGTCCATGGAAGTGCAGGTAGATCGAACCGGGGCGCAAAGCGGTCGCCACTAATGCTTGTAGTTCAATCAAAACGGTATTTAAGATTCATAAATGGATATCGTTTGGATCACCTATGAAAAATATGTGGCACTAATAAATTCAATACCAACCATCAAGGATTCATCCATAGGTCGGCTGTACTGACAGCCCGTCGGAGGCTCTGAAATCTCGACTCCAGTCTTCCAGGAAGAGGGGTCTATCTTTCTAATGTGCTCCGTTTAAATGCATATGCACTGTGACATCGTTTGATGCCCGGCCGTTCTATTATCCAATCAACCCAATCAACCCCTCATCTGCCGGCGAATCTCGATGGGCTGCGATGTAAGATAAAGATGGACCTACAAAGTACAGACGAGACAGGAAGGCGGTTCCCAGGGACGCATTACTAGCCGAAGGAGACCCATCGATAGTCTCTTCAATCTCCTGAATGGTGAAGGAGGACACGCGGACGTGCCACGAACAGAACTAGTTTCACCCTGGTACGCTTCAACGGTCAAGAATTATTCCAATCTGAGTCCAGTGCATTCGCATCCGCGACACAAAGATTGAACCTCTAACCATGTCCTGTTAAATTCTTTATTTTCATATTGTGGTTGCCTTTCTGTTGCGCCAGTACCCACTTAGTTGCAGTTCGAGAAAACTTCGAATATGCCAGGAATTGGTTCAACGACATCATTGCGGATACTAGCCGATACTTTTCCGCCGGAGGTACTCTTTGAGGGGATTTGATGGATTATCCCGTATCTTTTTGAGACATGACGTGGGTCATTATTTGAGTGGTACAAGAAAAATTTAAAAAAATTTATAAGTTGTCACCCAATTCATGTGTCATCCATTTACTCCAGGCTGAAAAGAAGCAACGGTCAAGAGGAAAAAAGCCTTGCCGAGCCCTAGGCGCCTTGGCTCTTGGCTCGCATAATTCCGTACTCCGTAAATTGTTTGTTGTTCCAGATATTGGTTTCGGGATCCAAGTACAACATTGTACGACATTATATAACCTTCCAGCCTTATATTGTGTTACTTATAACCCAAATAGGAATCTCTAAAGCAGGAAAGAAATGTCATTACATATAATAATATTAAAAGATATTATTAAGGCAAGGAGGATTGTTGTGCACATTCTGTATCGAGTAGGCCACCATGATGATCCCTGTCCGATCATTTTAGTGTGACGCTAGTCCCTTTACGGCATCAACATTTCTCATTATCGCCGAATTTCTTCGGGATTGGGGACGGCTTCCCGAGTCCCGTTTTGCAACCAGCGCCGAGAAGGACGGGAGTGGCTTGGCGCTTGGACTCCGAGTTGCATTGAGATCGAGTACAACGTCCGTGTACTTCGTACACTGTTGTATGGCAGGGACCCTCATAGTCGCACTTACCATCTTCCCGTGTGCGTGCGCAATCTCGATGATGCACTATTTGATATCGGCAACCCTTCCTTAACGGTATAAGCCTATTATTGGTAGGGCTTGTAATTCCCCTTACCGCTATGGGGCAATCTCGCTGTTTATTATTTCCTGAGCCGAACAATAGACGGACCAGGCACAGTTTTCATTTCAACATGACCCAGAATTCTTTCTCCGAATGCTTGACGATTCTTTATGTTTGGTCAGTCGGTGCGGATCCAAACACCACACCGAAGGATTAGGGCATCTCCACCAAATGATTGAAAGGCCAATGATGATAATCATCCAAAAAATAAGCCCCCAAAAAATATAAAAATGAATAAAAAATCAAAAATCCATATTGTGATGTCATCAGGGACGCAAACTACCGGGTGGATCCCCCAAAAAATGCTTAACCCGCCATTATTGATGCATCCGGTTAATGGGATCCGCTTCCTAACAACTATGATTCGTTGAACCACAATTACTACCGTAGTGGCTTTTCGTATTATTTACATTTTTTATTTTATTTTATTTTCATGAGACTTTCGGGGACTATGGAGTAGACACGGGGGAAAGAAATATTATATGCCCCACGATGAATCTCCTTGCCACTTTCGTCAAATTCCGTTGGAGAAGACATTCAAATATCTCCCTATTCCCTCCCCCCGGGGTTTCTCGTTTCTCCGCGTGTCTCTCTATATCTCCATTCCAAATCATCCCACCCATACACGTGTTTACACTGGGAACTAGTCCATCATCTTTCGGACTTGTATAGATTGGTTATCTTAGTTATCTACTTCTATTCTTCATCATGGCGCCGAAATATGCTGGCATGTCCGGCAGGCCCTTGGGTTTGACGGTGTCGACCATCGCCACTATGGGTTTCCTGCTCTTCGGTTACGATCGTGAGTATACGTTGATCTATCATACAAACCAACCATTATACTAACAATCCACAAGAGGGTGTCATGTCTGGAATTATTGATTCCGATGCCTTCGGCAGGTTCATGCCTCTCACCCATGGCGATTCCACCATGCAGGCCTTGGTGACTGCCGTCTACGAGTTGGGTTGTCTGGTTGGTGCCATGTACGCCTTGTTCGCTGGCGACAAGCTTGGTCGTCGTCTCATGATTATGCACGGTGCCTATGTCATGATCATTGGTGTTATTATTCAGATCTGTGCCATCAAGGGCCATGGAGCTACCGCTCAGTTCATCGTCGGCCGTATCATCACTGGTATCGGAAACGGAATGAACACTTCGACTATCCCTACCTACCAGGCCGAGTGCTCGCGTTCCTCCAACCGTGGTCTTCTCATCTGTATCGAGGGTGGTATCATCGCCATTGGTACAATGATCGCTTACTGGATTGACTTCGGTGCCTCCTACGGTCCCGATGACCTCGTCTGGCGTTTCCCCATTGGTTTCCAGATCTTCTTCGGTCTTATCATTATCATTGGCATGTACTACTTGCCTGACTCGCCTCGCTACCTCATCTCCAAGGGTAAGGTGCACGAGGGTGAGTATGTGCTCGCCGCTCTCGGTGGTTACGAAGTCGATTCCCACGAGACCCAGATTCAGAAGCAGCTCGTCATCGAGTCTATCGAGGCTGCTGGTGTTGCTGCTGGTGCTGGTTACTCTGATCTCCTCACTGGTGGTAAGACCCAGCATCTGCGCCGCATGCTTATCGGTTCTTCGTCTCAAATCGCCCAGCAGCTGTCTGGTTGCAATGCTGTGATTTACTACCTGCCTGTCCTCCTGAAGAAGTCTCTCGGTCAGACTGAGTTCATGTCCATGCTTATTGGTGGTATCAACATGATTGTCTACGCTATCTTCGCCACCTTCTCCTGGTTCTTCATTGAGAAGATTGGTCGCCGCAAGCTCTTTATTGGTGGTATGACAGGTCAAATGGTTTCTATGATCATTGTCTTCGCTTGTTTGATCCCCGATGAGACCGGACCTTCCAAGGGTGCCGTCTTTGGTTTGTTCCTCTACATGTCCTTCTTCGGTGCCTCCATCCTGCCCCTCCCCTGGTTGTACCCCGCCGAGATCTCCCCTCTCCGCACTCGTGCTAAGGCCAACGCCGTCTCCACCTGCTCCAACTGGCTGTTCAACTTCACTGTCGTGATGATCACTCCGGTTATGATTGACAGTATCTCCTGGGGTACCTACTTGTTCTTCGCCGTGATGAACTTCATCTTCATTCCCCCCATGATCCTCTTCTACCCCGAGACCGCTGGTCGTAGTCTGGAGGAGATTGATCTCATCTTCGCTAAGGGCTTCTGCGAGAACATGAGCTATGTCAAGGCTGCCAAAGAGCTACCTAGGCTCACCGATGACGAGATTGAGGCGAAGGCTGCTGAGTATGGCTTCGAGTCTAGCCGCCGCCAGGGTGATATGGAGAACGCCGGTGAGAAGGGTTCCCCTCGCAGCACCTCTAGTGATGGGAAGGATATCCACGAGGAGAACGAGAACTCCAAGAACCTCTCATGAGAGCTAGGCTTTCTGTGAGCTCTGCTAAGCACTTGTGTTTCAAGTTGCCGGCGTGACAGCGCTGTGCGCTGCCGTTACTTAATGTTATGGCTGTGCTGTTGCCTCTGTCCAATGGACGGGTAAACGCCAGATTCGCATTTTTCTTCTGTTTTCCTTTTTATTTGCTTATTTCTTTTGACATTATATACCCATTGTTTCTGGCCTGGAGGATGACAGCCTGGTCCTGATGCCAGATGATCCTGTCTGCATTCAAAGCGCAGTGCTATTGTTTTTCTTTTTATGACGACCTCCAAAAATGGTTCGGTCGGGCATGAGAATTCTCAGCTTTATGTACATGCGTTTAGCATGGTACGATTCTAGGGAATCAACACATCATATTTACTTTTTTCTCCTTGTAGACGGCAGACCTGTAAATTACTGGATGGGTTAGTTCTGTCTCTTTGGGCTTAGCGCCCCAATACGCCGTCAAACTTCATAATATTAGGCCTCTGACGTCGGTGATAATGATCTCGTATCCTTGATATCTAAATCGCGTTTTATATACTCTTGATTGAAGTGCCGTTGTCGCTTCTTGTCGCTCATAAGGTCTTGTTATAGATTGGATAGTAGGATGGAGATACTGGTAGAACGGATTCGCTTGAACCAGCGTTGTAGGACATATTATTTGACTAATAATTCCTCGATAGGACAGAAGTGCACCCGTCTTGAATTTGCGTGGTCATTTCAACTCTATTGGCTCGAGCCTATAAGAGCTTTATCCATCGCTTGGCGCAGGCCCTAGCTCTGGAATAATAACGACTACACTCTGCACATAGCATGTATCTTGCTGCCCCGGAAAGTCTCAGTTCATGTGAATGAGTGGCAGGGAAATCTTGGAATATCCTGAGGCAGATCGCTCTATTGATCCGTGGATTTTTTGGTACTGTATTCTGGCAACGGGCTCTATCATCTTTGGCCTAAATATAATCCAAACGGTGGGCGGGATCGCTAATGACTCGATCGAATAGCAATTGTGAAGGTTCAGGGCTCCATACCATTTTGAGGTGTACATCCCAATGCGGATAAACATCTCCATATTGTCTTGGAAGGGTCGAACGGATTGCAAATTACTTATTGACGAATCATCCTGAAGATCAAGGGTGCTGAAGCAATTCCAGATGCGGGAGCCTCGGTGGGTCACGACGAATTATAGATACCCATATAAAAAGAGGAAGATTACGATTTCTCAAACGTGTAAATCCTCAAGCTGAGAGAGAATCTGTCATACCAGTCAGAAATCCTTTGTAGAACATTCAGCGAAACAAGAACTCACATTTTCAATATAACGAACCCCAACTATCATCCCATCCTTGTCCTTGATTCCAGCGTCGCGCGATGTGAAGATATTGTCATCGCCATGGTCTAGGCAGCGTAAACAAGCGAGAACCACATCGGTGTATCGGTCTCCCACTAGGCTAGGCAGTCGATCTTTTACCAATGCAACTAGTTGGTGCTTGACAGCGAACCCCCTCGTACGGGCATCCTTTTCGCCGAAGTACCTTGCAATATCAAGCTCTTCCCAAGGAGTGGTAGTGCCGTTCTCAATATGCACAAAGGAGTGCCACAATGCAAGTTCCAGCAAGCATACACCCAGACTGTAAATGTCATGCTGCATCGTAAAAGTTTCCTCTAGCCGGAGTCCTTGTCTGACGGGGTGACGATAAATATTTCGTTCCCAATTCAGATCACCTAGGCGGTTGGTGTGGGAATCTGCACGTCGAATCTGCTCAAATCCAATCAAGAACGATGGTCCTAAATCTTGACCTTCCTGAGTAAAGACGATAATTGTCTCTGGTCGGATATTTTTGTGCACGAAACCGGTCGTATGAACGAACATTACCGAACGGGCGAGTTGTAGAGCAAGCTGAACCCGCTTACTGAGAGAGCATTGGGGCTTCTCCAAAATAATATTCCTCAGGGACTTCGGTGATGTTAAGCCCTGAGGTACCTCGAAAATGAATTGAAATTGAAAATCTTGAGATGAGCTCCTCTCTACCACGCCTTCACATTTGAGGAGGCCAAATGACATCGGATCGACATTCAGCAATAGTCTCGCCATGTCACGAATGTGTGTTTTTTTCACCGGAGAAGGTGCATCACCGGCAAAGTTTGCGCTGTCTAATAGAGCCAGTCGACCATCAATCGTGAAACTTGATAGGTAAGCGGTTGTTCTAGGGATGCTTTCTAGACTTGATCCAATTGTATCTGAATTGACGAAAATAGAGGTTGAGCTCCCACTTGACTCTGACGATGACTGCTGTATTGCATGTCTGATTTTTGAGAGTCTTAATGTGTGGGGATCACTTGCTTGCGTTGACCTCTCCAGCTCCAGGTCCACTTTTGGCTCCGCGATGCGAGATATGAGATACCATGAGGGATCAAAGCGGCGTTGCCACTCTTCCAGGTCGTTGACCACCTTTTGAAGGTCCTTTTTCAAATAAATCGCCCGTGCCTTTTTAGGAAAAGAAGCGGCAGAAATATTGCGAATATAGACTTCTGAAAATTTGCTGACAGCCGCAAGTAATATCACCTGGAGAGTTTCAATAACCTTGGCGTAATGGTCCTGGAGGACAGGTTCGATAGTATCCGACTGCCATAAACGTTTCAATGAGTCTAACTGAAACTGTGTCTTGATCCAAACACTTTCTATGACCAACGAGATATTTTCGATATCGCGCTCCAAGCGACGCTGCTCGCGGCAGAATTCCACAAGCTGTTTACCATACCTGGGTGGAAATTGAAGTATGCTAGTCAGTGTTTTGTTCAACAGCCAGGAAATCGAGGTCTAACTTAAAACAAAGATCCAGTGTTGCAAATACTGCCAGTCCAAGTTCTGCCATAGTGTAGAGCCGGTTTAGAAGTCACAGCGGGGGAAATACGGGGGCGGGGGTCGGGCCGTAAGTGGCGGACGGGGGGGTTCCAGGCATCAACAGCGGATCAAATATAATCCTATAGATGAGGCTGAGCCCTGCATAATGCGCAAGTAAAACGACTCGTCACATCGCCTGAAAGTACCGGAAGGCTGTGCATCTCCCATCCAAATCCGGCTTCCCTTTTCTAAGCTTACCATCACATTTGGCCACAACGGATAGTTTGTCGAGCTTTAGAAGTCACTATGAAAGATGAAGAGCTCGTCAAAACACTTGAGCTGAACGTGATTGTTCTCTCTGCCCATCGCAATCGTGAAATCAGATTGCAACCCGATCCACAGAATCCAGACAAGCAAACAAAACAGGTCACGATATGGAATCGGACCCTCGAATTCAAGGAGGGGGTCCACCTGTACGAGTCGCCAAAGGGTGACTTCCGGGTTGTGAAAAGTGTCTCCAAAGATAAGCTATCCAAAAGCAACATATCGGAGCTAGATGTCCTCGGCCAAGTTTCGAGGATTATGGAGTATGTATCGCGGCTTGAGGAACCTCCTGTTGTGAGAGCCCCGTGATCGTCATTCCGCTAATTCCTTGCTCAGACTTGAAAAGAAGTCGCTTTTTGTTCAGTTCCACGGGTGGTATACGGCAGATAATTATGTCTATCTAGCTATGGAATACTGCGTTTTTGGAGACATTAAGAAGTGTTTCCCCCATCCACTTTCCGAAGCGAAATCTCGGTCTATATGTGAGCAGTTGCTTGAAGGCTTGGTACTGCTACATGACATGGGGATTGCTCACCGAGATATCAAGCCTGAGGTGAGTGGATCTGCTGAATTTTTGACACCATAAATTCTCATTCAATTTTCAAGAATGTACTCGTTGTGCAGAAGGATCCGGTCAGAGTCAAACTCGCGGACTTTGATATCAGCAAGTGGGCTGCCAAAGGGCAAACTGAGCTGCGAACGGAAGGGAGAGGGACGCGAGGCTATATGGCTCCCGAAGCTTGGGGTCTAGTCGATGACACTCAAGAATATTCAACCTACACCAATGCCGTCGATATGTGGTCCCTTGGGTGTCTGTTGTACTTCCTGCTAACGAAGGAGGAGCCATTCCTTGAATACAGTTTTCTTGGTGACTACACCAAAGGATTTGCTACCTTTCCAATTTCTCCATTGATCGATCATGCAGTGAGCGATCAAGCCCAACATATTATCATTTCTTTACTGGCACCCTTGCCTGAGGACCGTCCAAAAGCTTCTGTCGATTTGATCACCAACTGGACCGTTTTCGGAGAGAATGATGACGTACATAATTATTCTTCTACATATGAGGCCCCAGAAATAGCAACGTCGTCTATCATATGTGCAGCTGAAGGTAGCAGCGTCCCAAATGCGCCGCTGCACACTTCGCGGGACCAGGCGGCCCCTGGAGATCGGTCCAGAAATCCGAACTATCAAGCACAACCAAAGATCGGGGAAGAAATGGTAACTATGAAGACCCTTGTCTTATGTAGAATCTTTCTGATATGATCCTCATTAGAGTTTCTATTCCTATGAGCTTTGGCATGTGCTCAAGTCCACAAAGACCAAATCTGCCAGCACGGAACAAGTGGTGTCTATTCTAGATCAGAACGGAAATCCAAATGTACTACACGAAGGATACAATGCTCTCCACTTTGCCGCAGAGCATGGAAGCGTCGAGTGTGTTAAGGTACTGCTCGAATACGGCGCAAATGTGAACAGTGTTACAGAGCCCCAGCACGAGAACGCACTACACCTGGCGACCTGGCAAAGCGATCTTGATGATTTTTTAAGGAAATTACAAATTCTTCAGCAGAGCCATATAGACCTCAACGCGCAAAACAATGATGGCGATACTGTGTTGCATTTAGCGATTAGAAGATTTGGGTCAGTGAAGGCGATTGAGGCGATACTCGATACGGGTGCCTCGACGGAGAGGAAGGACACGAAAGGCCGTACTCCATTGTGGTACGCAGTCTTTCTGAAACAAGAAGAAAAGGCACTCAAGTTGTTGGAGAGGGGTGCCGACATAAATTGCCAGAACGAGACTGGTCGCACCCTATTGCACCTCGCAGTCGCTTCAAACAGGATCAGTTCACAACTCATTGAAGATCTGATTAGCGCAAATATCGACGTCAATCGAATTGACCACAATGGAAACACGCCTCTTTTTGATGCAGTCAAGCTGGGAGATCGAAACAAGATTCGCCTCCTTCGTTCTCATGGTGCGAAATGCAATCTCAATGAACCTGCAGATCAGAGGAATTCGGCTCATGTCAACATTTGGCAGAGTGTGAGCAACGCATTATCTTCAGTTTTTGACTGAACTACGTTCTTTGCTCCTTTTTTCTGGGATATTGGCCCGTTAAATTGCCCTATTGCTGCGCGTTTTGTCGCATCTGGGAAGGGAAGCTGGTATTTGTTTGCTAACTCATTTTGTTCTAAGATGAATTTTATAATGTTTGGGCTTCGAATATATAGCTTTGAAGTCAATACAAACCTTGGGAGCACTATGGGAATGAAGAACCATGGACGCTCTCGTATGGGAAAGGTACCTCAGTACTCTCCACGATAAATCTCCGCGATGAAAAAAAGAGTCACAAGTTGACATAAATTTCTAAACAGCCATATCTAAGCAGCCATATTATGACGAAGCACATCATAATTTTATACAAAATCCTCCAATGAGATATGAAACAGCAAAAAGTTCGCAGTTCCGAACAAATCGACATCCGAGGTGCTGGGAGAGTCTCACTCAAGACGAATCGCGCCTGGCTGAGACTCCAATGGTTCAAGATCGATATCTTTCCCTCGGAAACGTGTCTTCGCACGCCAGAGGATGAGATTCTTTGTTGAAAGATCGAATACATGGCTGATATCTTCGATCGGGACATTTTTGGTTTCCTTCATTAGAAGAGTTACCGACAAAAGGGATAGAAGGAGCCACATCCTAGAATAAATCGCACACTTGTCAATATGATAGAACTGGAGAATGAAATAGAATTAAGAGGGAGAACTGACGAACGATATGTTGTTGAAGAAAAGAAGCCATGTAAAGAAGGTGTTGATAGACCCAACGTCACTGCTATAATGCTTCCATGACCCAATGACGTTGTGATCGCCATGCCCAAATCTGCGCCGCTGCTGTTAGTATCATTTGAGCCGCAAGGCAAGTTGGAGACCATACCATTGTATTCCCACGGAAAGACCTCTGCTGTGTAAACACTGAACACAAGCTCAACAGTCTGGTAAAGTGCGATCAGCAGTATCTGGCTCACAAATGAAACCATCGAGGCGGGATCTCCTGTGAGCTCCACCACTGGAATCTGCATGGAGAGCAACATGAGAAGAATCAATGCCATCGCAGATCGACGACGGCCAATTTTGTCTACCTTTACGGCGAGCAACCAAACAAATATCACTGGGAATATTGCAATAATGGGCTCAAAATTAATACGGTCGAGCATTGGCAGCGTTTCGTACCAAAAATCAGCATGGGCAACTTGAACAGCAGACATATTGAGAGTGAGTATCATCGGGATTGATGCGAGGGCTGCTCTCTTGAATTGGGGGTGCTTCAATGCCTGCAAGAAGGAAAAATCTTCCCGGAAGTTCTGGGTGCTGCTCAGTTCACTGAGACTCGAATGGATTTGATGAAGGTCTCGAGCCGCCACAATTCCCGCTTTCCGAAAGTGACATAACGAGTCCAGGGCATCCTGCATCTTTCCGTTCAATATACACCAATAAGGCGACTCCGGCAACTTATTTGCCGTGATCAGACACAATAAAGTGACCCCGGAGATGGAGGTGAAAACAAGTCCCACATCCCTCACGCCCAGCAAGATCATAGCCTGCTTTTCGGCGAGTATATAAACAGCAACAGTGGTGATGGAGCTGACCATAATGGATTAGTTGATTCCGATTTTGGGTATCATTCACAGAGGGAATACATACACCTGCCAAATTGCTATTCTGGACCCCCGAGTGGACGTGAAGCTTGTTTCAGCGAGGTAAAGTGGGCAGGTGCATCGCAGGATGCCCATTGCCGTACCAGCTATAAGGTGGGCCGCAAAAATAGTGTATGAAAGTTCCCAACTCCGCAAGACGACCCTCACCAGTGTAGATAAGAGGGCCAAGAGAGTCGCAGTGAAAATTGAGCCACGGCGACCGACGCGTCCGTTCAAGGGTACACTGATGATACAGCCAAACAACGCACTCCCAAGCCATGGTGCACTGTAACCGGTCTTAGAGAGTTCGTGGAATTTGAATCTTAGCTGACTTACAAATTGAGCCATCGAGAAAACGTTGAGTGGTAATGCTGTTCCAGAAGTCGCCAGCTGGAGTATTGAAGGGATGCACTGTGCTGTTAGCTTGACCGGACAAAATCTATATAAACGAAGGAATGTGTAAGGGCGACCGACTAGAGAGCTATTGCCATGTAGCACGTATATGAAGTCCACCCCTTAACCTTGAAGATATTCACTTTCTCTCTTGATTTATCAGACAAAGCCGCAAGCTCATCTGGAGTCAACCCCTCCACTCCTGCGCCATTATCCGGATCATGGTAAACCAGAGCACCTTTTTTGATCAAGACCTGATCCTTGTTGAGTCCATGTATCATGGCAAACTCGTCGGCTTCGCGGATTATATCGATGCCGTTGAACTGCGGGCGTGTGCGGGATCTGCGAATTCCAGTCAGCTTAGCCTCATGCCAATCTTACTGCTGTCCCCGCAAATTATACCCAACCAAAGAGAAGCTCCCGGGGTGGACATTATTAGTCCCTCCGTCGAGGTTGACTCGATGAGATGCGGAAGATGGGAGCATGGTGGGAGATTATTGCAGAGCTTAGAAGCCAACCCCATTATTCGAGAACGAATCATGATGGATGGGCGTATTAATAGTCATCGGAGAGGTGTGAGGTGTGTTGTGTCTGGCCCCCTGCATCAGCGACGTCACATCAGCCACACACCAATGAGGGATTCTCATCGACCTCGTATTGAACCCAGGTGAGGCTGTGCATCTGGGCAAACTGGACAGGCCTTTAATTGGTCCATTGTTCATGAATCATGAACTGTCGAACAATCAACATCTTTCCCGGTCTATTCCACGGTGCAAAATCAAGGGTTCGCCAACTGGTCTATATGTGTTTGCATAATTCGCACAGTTTGCGAGGTTTTATTAAAGGAAGTAACTGTGACTAACCATTCACTTACACCCGTTCCTGGGTGTAGGTGAGCTCGAGAGCGTTAATATTAGGTACCTAGGACCGGGGTATGACTAAAAGTGCTAGGCGGGTGCAGAATAGTAGTATTATAGGGCAGTGGGCGGGCAAGGGGCGGCTGGACGTCCAAAGTTACGGGTGGAAAGGCAGCCATTTCTGGCCTCAAAAGCGGTTGCTTTTGGCGTCAATCCTACAGGTCCTCATATTCTAGTTGTAAAATGAGCACCTGTAAATTGCGGTTAGTTTGGATGGTTCCAGTTGGATGGTTCCAGCTTAGCCCTCAGTAAAATGAGTCATTATATATCTGCATTGTGCCCCCTGACATAAAAGATTAAATGATAATACGAGTAACCCTCAAAGATTTACTCCCCGGGACGACTAAGTATACGGAGACCGCATGGCAAACTAAGTATTTCCCATTTATCCCACTGGTATAAAATTTCACATCCAAAATTCCACGAGGAGATTTAATTAGCCAATTTACAAATGAGGCAGTATTTCATTTCAGTTGACTATAAAGAGGCTACATTCCACTGCTCCAACGACAAATCCATCCATTATATAGCCCAACAGGTGAATATTCACCCGGACTCTATCTCGGCTTGGGAAAGATAACTACCAATTTACACATTCCGTATTAGGTCAGATCTACTTGATTTAAGCTAACATAAACCTGGATTCAAACACGGAAATGATTTCAAATTCTAAGAATGTACATCTCTATGAAGCCATGCGCTCCACACGGCTTTGCAGAGCCTTGACCATATCGATCCCAACCTGGGTAGCCTCGTCCAACTTCTCCTCCGGCAAGCCTAACAGCTCGTTCTGTGCCTTGTCAGAGTGGTTACCGGCATCCTCCGGGAAGAACGCTCGCGCGTAGAGCAGCTTAGCAAACCCAGCCATGTTGCCAGTCTTGACCATCCCCAGACCATCGGCGTATCGCTTATGGGTATCCTCTTGGGTAATCGTCCAGTCGGCGTCCGTCGTGCCAGTCACGCGCTTGACACTCTCAAACATCTCGTTCTGGCTGACGACAAAGCTCTTGAGGTAGACGGGCTTATTGAGCCAGCTCGAGAGAGTTAGGCTCTTGTCGTTTTCGTCATCCGGAAGCAGCTTCAGGCTTAGCATAGTAGCAACAGCGCGTCCGACCTGGGCCAGAGTCGAGACTGAAGTCTTGGTGTTGCCATCGCCGTAGATCGTCAATTCTTTCGTATCAAAGTCGAACCCGAAGCGCGCCGACCCGCCCGCTAAGCTGTAGTCGTACCAGAACCCACAGCATACGGTGATCCACTTCATACCAAGCTTCTCAATCTCGTCTCGGTTGGCCTGGGCCACGGGTCCAAGCATGACATCCTGGCCGAACTTGACATGCTCAATGTCGCCTGCGTATCCGTTAGGCATGACGTAGGGGACCCCTGCCTTGGCGGCCGCCTGGACAAGCTTGCTGTGCGTGTCGCGGGGCGCAGTGGGGGAGACAGTAATAATAAAGAACTGTTGGCCCTTGAGGGCATCGATAATAGAGGCCTCATCGCTGTAGTCGACGGGGGCGACAACGACGCCCTCGGGGAGTTTGTTGGAGCTGTCTTTGCGCGAGAGGGCAGTGACAGTGTGTTTTCCAGTTTTCAGGAGGGCGGCAGCGAGAACAGAGCCAACAGTACCTCCAGCCTAGTAAGTGTGTTAGTCTCATACTGTATTATACTTGGGGAGGAAGGGTGGGTTTACATACACCGACAATGGCGACTCTTTCAATGGCGTTGGTGAAGCCGGCGGGCTGATCCTTAGCGTATGACATTTTGCTTGAGTGATGTGTGTGAATTGATTTGGATTGGATTGAATGAACCAAGACTCAAGTGCAGCTGAATCATGATTAATTTATAGTAATTCCAGCTTGATGATCTCCGCCGCAGCAGCCGCACTGCAACCTGAAACTCCGCAATGGCCACGCTCAGCATCGTAACCCCGCAATAGCCGCACGATGTCCACCCCGAGCGGCGTTAAGTTGTTGAATGAAAGAAACAGCCGGGGAATCTTCCCACCCATTTCCCCTAGTGTCAGACGGTCGAGTGTGGTCTAAATGAATCGGAGTGGACAGAGTTGACTCGAGCATAGCCTCTCGATCAAACATACTCCGTTCGCAAACCCCATCTCTGCCTTTTCTACAACGAGTTTACTAGGACTCGTTCCCCAGGCCCGTGATTTTCAACGAACATCATTTCACAGTAAAAATGTCTTCTAAAAAACCATCACAGGCGTTATCTAATGAACCTGAAGCCCCGAGTGAAGACCTTGAAGACCATGTAGACCATGAGGTCCGTGAAGACTGTCAGTACAGTGAGGATGATTCCGAAGTGGAACGTCCCAAGTCCCTCCCCAGGGAGGTGCTCTTTGTCGCCATCATCTGTTCCTCACAGCTTCTCACTCAAGCCGGTCTTGCCATCAGCATCGTCCCTCAACACATCATCGGACGCTCCTTTAGCATTGACAATCAGCCTGGGAAGCTGAGCTGGTTCTCCTCTGGATACTCTCTCACCGTCGGCACCTTCATCCTCATTGCAGGCCGCTTCGGTGATGTCTTCGGGCACAAGCCGTTCTTCGTAGGCGGTTATGTTTGGTTTGCCTTATGGTCTTGTCTCGCGGGTGTTGCTGTGTATAGCGGCCCCAGATTTTTCATCTTTTCCCGTACGATGCAGGGAATCGGCCCGGCTTTCCTACTGCCCAACGCCATTGCTATTGTCAGTCGCTGCTACGACCCGGGCCTTCGTCAAAACATGATCTTCTGCCTGTTTGGAGCCACTGCTCCTGGCGGCTTTTTGCTTGGTGCCGTCTTCTCCAGCCTAATTTCCCAGAGACTCTGGTGGCCTTGGTCGTATTGGGTCCTTTGCTTTGCGTGCCTCTTGCTGGCTGTCTTGGGCGTCTTCGCCATTCCCGCAACCCCAGCCCCGAGAACCCCAGAGTCTGAAAACTCCAATTTCTGGAAGCGTGTCGATGTCGGGGGCTCGGTCACCGGTGTAGCCGCCCTCGTGCTTTTCAACTTTGCCTGGAACCAAGGCCCCGTGGTCGGCTGGACGACACCATATACCTACTCCATCATGGCCATCAGCATCCTTGTCTTTATTGTCTTCGTCCTGATCGAGAAGAAAGCAAGCCACCCGTTGATTCCCTTCGGCGTGTTGCGTATTGATTCCCTCTTCACTCTGGCTTGCATCAGCGCCGGCTGGTCCAGCTTTGGTATTTTCGTCTTCTACACGCTGAACCTCCTCGAGGTCCTCAGGGAGAAAACGCCCCTTCTCGCATCTGCACAAATGACGCCCATCGCCATAAGCGGGCTATTTGCTGCGGGCGCCACGGGCCTACTTCTAAACAACTTCCGCGCGTCGACAGTCATGCTGATCTCCATGACCTTCTTCCTCATCGGGGGTGTCATCTTCGCGACGATGCCCGTGGGCCAGATCTACTGGGCGCAGACGTTCGTGGGGATCATTGTCCTACCATGGGGCATGGACTCTTCGTTTCCCGCTGCCACGATTATCCTGAGTCGAGCCATGCCGCGCCAGCATCAGGGTCTGGCTGCGTCGCTGGTGACCATGTTCGTCAACTATTCCATCTCCATTGGGCTTGGCTTTGCTGGTACTGTTGAGAGCCAGGTCAATGGTCAAGGGAAGAATGTCTTGCAGGGCTACCGAGGGGCGTTTTGCATGGGTGTTGGGCTCGCCGGGTTAGGTGTAGTTGTTGCCCTGCTTTTCTGTTTTGCGGAACGGTTTCATATCAAGATAGAAAGGGTGGAAGAAAATATCGATACGCAGGAAACGCTGGTTTAGATCTCATTAATGCTATAATGTTTCATTAGATTCCTTGAAGTGTGACTTCTGCTGCTAATTTACATCTGAATTTCGGGAAACATCGACAGATATGGCTCCACGAGAAACTGGTCCCAGTCCACCCCCCAGCCAACAAGATCTGGCACAGCGGCATTGGGGTTGGGTTCCGGTGGTGTTTGAAAGACTTCGTATTCTGCCTCGACAGCTTCTAGCTGCGAAAGTTCCTTTCGTTTCTTCGCTATATTAAGACCGAGAAGATGCCGTGCTATAGAAAGTGCCTGTCGGGTGAGTGCTGTGTCCGTTGACCTAACAAGATTCTCCAGCCCCTTAAAAGCAGCGGGAATGTGAGCGGACGAGGCTGGGGTGTCGATGGCTAACAAGATACAAGCATATTGGAAGACACTGCCGATAACATTCCATAGTAGACGGCCTTGGCTGGCCAGCTGCTCAGCTGCCTCTAGTCCATCCCTACCGCTCTCAATGACAACCTGGATGGTTTCATCAGTGATACCGGCCTTTAACTGGTAGATACGTCGATAGAAACAGAATGCGAGGTCCGCCTTAGTGGCGACTAAGAAGGGATGCGTGAAATGTAGTTTGCTTAATGCGGTAAGACGCTCGTAGAGCTCCTCCCTTGGAGATAGAGGCTGAGAGTCAAGTTGGAACGGAGAGTTCGGCGACGGGATGATCTGGATGATTTGCACAAACTGGTCGGCAACGGATCCTGGGGTCGCAATGATCGCCTGCGTAGTTACGGCTGTGAATATTACTGCCGACCGATCGCA